TGTGGTTAGCTATGGGATAAAGTATAAGTATCAGTCACCTGTGATTAGCTCCAGCATATGTTGTTTTCTTTACTTGCACATTTAGTTAAGTGACTTTTCTCTTGGTTCTGTACAATTATCAGTCACCTGTTATTTTTCTATATGCTTGGTTCTGTGAGCTCTTTTTTTGTAATATATTCTGTCACGTTTTCTGCTCATCTTTGTTTCCTTTCTCTAGGCTTGATGGACGGACTGATTAGCCACATCATTTTAGGTTTGGAATGGTGTATTTGATACAATATCTTGATTAGAAGAGGTTTTGGTGTGGGTCCGTATGTATCTTCATTTTGGTCTCCTGGAAACATCTGGTTTTGTTGTTTGGTTAACCCATATAAAGGGCTCAGTGCTGGTAGAAAGTTAAATTGTGATGAAATGATTCATACTAGTTACTCTACCTTATGAATAGGCATACTAGTGGCTACATTATATCAGTTCTCAAGAATCTTTTGTACCGATCACATAAATACTAAAATACCACTGATGCTTGATTTTATGTAGTTAATCAATATGGGGTTTGGAACATAGTATTGTTTGATTTACGGAGTATATTATAATATATTTCTTTCTTGTGAAATTGGGATACATGACCATCTTTTTGGAACGGGCCGATCATTTTATTTTTTTTCAGGCTCTCCAAGATCAATGTGTTGAGTTGATGACCACAGAATTTCCTGAAGATTCTTCAGAAATTTTGGAACCTGAATCTGAAGCACCTATTGTGACAGTTTCAGCAAACAAGAAAACCTTTTGGGCTATTGCAACTGACTACTCGTCAACAGCTATATCAGATAATTCATTTTCAAATAGTAGGGAAATTAGAAGTGATTACTCTTGGGAGTCAATGGATTTGAAGACAGTGATATCTGTTTTGGTTTCGATTCTTGTTATCATAGTATGACTAGTCTTTTGCATTCTTGGGATAGAGTAGCTTATGGTACTAGTCGCTTTGGAAGTCCTTTTGCCACTGCCGGTTGCGCAGTATGTTTGATATTTGCCTTCATAGTTGAGTCACTTGCAGGAAATCGAAGGAAATATGTATAGAACGTTCAAAACAATGACCAGTTTTGGAAACTATTACTCCTTGTGGAAAATCGATGGTCTGAGTTTGAAGTAGAAAATGGTGAAAGACACGCGTGATATTATTTCTGCTAATTTTTTCCTGTTATACTGCATATTAATTGTTATCTAATTGATATTAAAGGGCATCCCAATAGTTATTATTGTTTTCCTTTCAAGAACACATATTGCTGCCAATTTTTCCCTATTTTATACTCAAAACTTCAACAAATGCTCATTAATAAGTGTTTATCAATTGTAGTTTTTCCTTTATGCGTCAAAAGTTAGGTTGCTAGTAGTAAATGTCAAGGGGCACGTACTTAAGAGTATAACTTCAAAATCTCTGAAAACAAAAACAAAGGAGCACGACACCCTGCACCAAATATGTCCTGATACGATAAACAAGAAATATTTTATGCTAAAACGATAAATATATATTGCAAGACATTTTGTAGCCTAACCAGCTTTACCGAAACATACTTTAGCCTGATTGAAAGAGGACTGAAACTACCTTATGAAATCATTTCACCAAGTTATGGGGATTCTTTTATTAATCTTCCTCACAAACCCAGAATTGATCATATAAGCAACAATGAAATCATTAATGTTTCGTAGAGTCACTAGGAGCATCGACTTCACGAGGAGTCTTTCCTGGATAATCAGTTTTCGAAGAACTTTTGAAGACATCACACTGAAAAATTAAAATGCAAGGTGAGAACGTTTAGAATGATAAATAAATCCATTCTACATTTTAGTTGCGGATTTGAGCATTGTACCTTCTATCAACTATGATCACTGATCGAAGTTCGCAATTGTTGAAGCTGCAAAACAAACTTGCAAATGTAAATTTACTTCTCTTTCTTGCAGGCGATTCATGTTCATAAGTTTCAAATTTTTATGGATATAGAAACTGTCATAGCATCATTGTACAATCAGATTATGGAATCACACAACTCTTAAAAAATGTACGATTGATGCAAATACAGATGCATAATCCCTCGACTTTATTTCCAGTCCATCTTAAAAATCTCAGGCCCCTCTGAGCAAGGTCTTTATCTGCCTCCCTGACATCAATTTCTCAGAGCTTGTCAGCATTGGTTTCTATTTGAACATCAGAAGCAAAAGGTATAAAGAATAACTGAAGAGACAGATAACATATTTTTTGTTTAACATATTTGCAAGAACATAGTATGTCTGTCAGTATATTTTTATTCCTTTCTAAGGAAGAAACTCAAGAAGGAACATGTACTTGCCAGAGAAAAATCAATGGTGGGAAAAAGCAACTTGTATTCACTTATGCTCCTTCTCTTATCACACCAGTTAAGCCCCTGCATTAGATTTCTCATCAAGAATTGAGTAACCCTTTAGCTTCTTTTTTTTTTTAAAAAAAAAATAAAATTAAAACTCTTAACCTAGAAATCCCCTAGCCCAATCAATAAGTATGGAAAAAGGTAAAAGTACTTAATTGAAGTTATGAAAATAAACTAATCTCATGGTTTGTGAAGGTCTTTGCAAGATTCCAAAGATCCAACACTTTTCAACAGTAGAAAGAGATTTTTCACTGTTCACATTAAGATGAATGAAAAGTAAAATCATGAAAAGTTCAAAACAAGGGTATATCGAAGTATTGAACATGACACAGGTGATGCTGAAAACAGAAGTTAGAGGCTAAAGGAAGAAATGGATTTAGTTTTTCTTCAAAAAAATATTTCAACAACCCAATGAGCAAGGACAAGCACCTAAGAACCCTCTGAACATCAAACCACCAAACACACCTAGTCTAGTAACCACCCAGAAACCCAAGACAAAAACTAGAATCTCAAACAATAAAACACACTATCAGAAACCCAACAATAACAGAAGATGCTGATTAAAATGTCACATATCTTCATAATTTTCACCATACATGTCCAAAAATATCATCCACCTTAAATTCCAATTTGCAGCCACCAAACTCGGATTTTTCTATCTATAGACATTTTAGAATCCGACTAAATATATTATCCAAATTCTACCACACAGTACAAATCACAAGAAGCCGGCATCTCCAATTTATCAAAAATTTAGTAAAAATGAAACCCACGCAAACAAGCTTACATAAAACAAAAATGTTCAAATCAACTGTAAACATATTACCTAGTAGAAGCCCACAACTCCAATTTGCAGTCGTCCTCGTTGGATTGTCGACCGAACAACGGTGGTAGCCCTCAGCCCGCAGTCCTCTCCACGTGATAGCCCTAACCTCGTCGTCCTCAGAATTATGTCGTCGACGGCCGAAATCTAGTCGTCCGCAGAATGTCGACAGAGCCCACGTCGTCTCTGTCTTCAGGTGGCTCTCGTCCTCGCGTTGTTTTGGGTAAGTTTAGGGTTCAAGCTCGACGGATTTTCGAAAGAGGGGCAAATGTCCGAACTAGCTTCAATTTTACGAAAATGAGGGTAAATTAAGCATTTAGGGTCTGTTTGGTTGACATGATAGGGAGTGATATCCAACTACTTGTTATATTATCCATTGGTTTAACATGTTTGGTTTGCAACTATTAAGCCCTGAAAATGGCTCTTGGCCCGGTGATATATCCATTAAATTGTTTATACCATATCCCACAAATTTTGTTGGATACATTATCACATTCAGCTGATAAGCTTAAATTACACAAATATCCCCAAGTTACTTTCACATCAAGATTTCAATTCTGTACGAAATAATAGTCTGGGCTATGGTGATCTTGGTGCTCCGACGAACGAGAGCTGCAAATGATTGGGTATGAAGAAGGCATCGGCGTCGGAGCAGTCGACCGGCGACCCACAACATCCGTCAACCACTTTCTCTAACACCTCTACTCTCCAATAGGTAGTTGTTCACAGAGAATTTTTGTTTAGGACAAATACCATTGGAAGCCCTTTCGTTTCCAATTAATTTAACCCGAATTGCCCTAAATCCAAATTCCCCTCGCTGCTCTCCATTTTATTTTTGAAATTTGCAAATGAAATGAGAGATGGAGGTATATGGAATTGAAGTCGGGCTTGAGAAGATTTGGGATCTGCATAGTAAGCTCAAGGACGCCATACACTCTATTTAGTTCACATCTGGTTGATTCATGGTTTGGGGTCACTATTGGTGTTGGTCAGCTTAGTTTAGTGTTAGATCTGCGATTATTTTTAATAGGGTTCATGAAATTGTGTTTGCCTATGTCCTGTAGCAAAATACCTGAGCTTGGATATGGATTCAATTTAAGGGTACACTTTGAAAATTTAATTTCAAACGAAGGGTGATTATGTAAAATCCTCTACATAGTTATTAATATTGAGCATGGAACAAACAAGTTATTATGTCTGATTCTATCAGTTGGATAAAGCTAATAAGCCATGTGGGAATTAATCCAGCCCATTACCTCTTTCCAACCAAACTCACCCTCTTATCCTATCATTTGGTCCATGATAGTAAACATGGACAAATTTCAGACTTTTTAATCCTATAATGTAAACATGAGACAATAAGCTGACGTGTAAAGTTGGCTGGATAATTTTGTATAATCCTATCCATGAAAGTAAACGACCCCTTATATGTCAAATCTATCTTTTGTCACCACATTTCTACTTCCCCGCACGTGCCAAACCACACCACCAAAATCTACTTTTTCTCTCTTCCATTACCCCCACAGCCCCACTACAATAAATTAAATTGGTATTCAATGGAGATTGAATTTGAAATAAATAACACAAATATTCATTCTAGGCTCTTTAGATTCTTTTTAATCCATATCACAAGACACAATTTACACCCAAATTCAATTTTTTTTTCCTAAATCAAGAAAATTACATACACAGCCACACAAACACACGCACGCGCACACAGTCTCTCTCGGAATCCATTTCCATCACCGCAGATCCAAAGCAGCGCGGCCGTAATGTCAGACTCCACCGCCTTGGAACACCAATCGGCGCCCCCACCGCCGTCTGCGGCCGCGGCCCACCACCTCTACCCCCGCCGGGAGCCGTTCGAGCACGGGCTGCTCCCCATCACCAAACTCATCTTCACCGACGGCGCGCAAACGCTGTCTCAGCTCAAATCGACTCTCCTATCCTCCAATCCGACCGAGCGGGTTGATTTCGATACACTGTCCCGAGCCCTCCAAATCCCCCTCGAGCACGCGCGGCTTATTATCGAGACGATTTCCTCCGTTTTGCACGGCGAGTCCGATCCGTTGGTGGAGGCCGGCGGATCGCCTGATGGGGTCGATAGAATTGGGGTGAATGTGTACGATTTGCTCGTGTTTTTGTACATACAGAGTTATAAGAGGTTGCTGCCAAAAGGGCATAAGGATTCTGCAGCTGTGGCCGATGTTTGGCCGTCGACGTCGGCGTTCGATGGGGTCTTATCAACTCTTTCGCCGTTGCAGGTGAATGGTTCTGCTATTTTGTTTGTAATTTTCTTTCATGGGAGAGATTTGCATTTGATTGGAAATGTCTAATCAATTGTTTGCTCATCTGGGTTTAATTGCTTTACAGAGTAGTGAATTTGATCTACTTCACGTTTTTTGGGATGATATCCGTTCTTTTAAGTAGTTGGTGGTTTGTGGTGTGATTCATAGCTTGTAATGGTTCAGCTATTTAGTTTGGGAATGCCTAGAAGTTGGTTTTTCTTAGGGAGTGTAATAGTATCACGTATTTATTAATGGGATTGTTAGACAGGAAGGGTATTAGAAGTGAAAAAAATTCCCCAATTCGACCAGATTTATCAGCATGTTTGCTTACATTTGATTCTGGGAATGGGTTATTCTAATCCCATTCTCCATTTTCTTATAGATAGTGACCGGTTGTCATATTTTAGCTTTTAATTACCGTTAAGAGATTGCAGCATTTCTCTAGTGCTGCCAATCTGGGAAATAGGTGCCCGGTGGATGCCATTTCATTTGGTTAGAGAACAGTAGTGAGATGATTATTGAGTAGAGAGTGATTTACTTTGAATGTGAATGTATATGAGATAACACTATGATTGATAGTTGGAAATATTTGAGTGACCTGATAGCAATTTTTACGGGAAGATGTTTAATGTTGATTCTTCTCTAAGTTGATTATTGTAGTAGAAATTTTATTGAGTTGATTGGGGAAAGAAAAAATTGAGATGAGTGGATAGTATGAAAATCTTTGTTAATTTTCAATGGAAATAGTATTTGTGGAGGAAATTTTTCATTTACATATGTAGACAAATGTTGTGACTTGTGATTGGAAGTATATCCAATTGCTAATGTTATTCTCGTTGCTAAAGAGAACTTTTATATTAATTGCAGTTGGTACGGAGCAACAGTCGCAAGTTTATGCCATCTCAAGCTGATGAAGAGTCTCATCAGCTGTCCTATTTGCAGAAGCACATAGGAAATATCATCTCTCTGTTGGCGGACCCCACAGAAGGAGAAGGTGATGAATCTCTGGTATGTAAGCTCTGTTTGATAATTCCATTATATTTTTTGCATGAGTATGTGTGTGTGTGTGTGTGTGTGTGTGTGTGTGTGTGTGTGTGTGTGTGTGTGTTTGTGCAATTCATCCCTTGTAATTAGACAGGAAAGGTGCATTGCTTCTTACTGGTGAAAAACCACTGTTAGGTGTCTGTAGGTGTTTTGTCTGAGTTTTATATTTTTGGTTGTTTCTTTTAAGATTTAATTTGCTTTTTATGCGAGTGGTTTTTTCTTCCTTCCAGGTTCTATCCATGGATAAATTTGAGCATCTCGGATTTCTGCTTTATTTTGGGGAAAAGGGATCTGTTAGAATCCCCTTGAGCCAGAGTACTCCATTTTTCGCAAATTCCGATCCGGACATGCCTGCTGCACCTGTTCCTGCATCACAAGTTCTTGACTGGCTTCTCCAAAATATAGCCTCTACTCTGGAATTTGTTTCCGATAGAGTTTCACCAAAGGATAATGTGCCAACCAGTTCTTCTGATCAGGACGTTCAGATGGCTGATGCTGGCACAAGTCCCTTGAAACCCTCAAGCAGTTTTAGAGGTCCAAGTTTCATTGAGGGAATTTCTAAATCATCGTGTGTGAAGCACGCATCTGATCTTAAGGGTACATCTGCAAAGGTACTTTTCAGCCTGTCACACGTGTCCACTCCTATTTAGTTTTTCCCTTTTGTCTGTCTTGGGTTAACTGATTTTATGAGGACTTGGCACACAACATTTGGGAGAAGTTACAAATTTTTCCGTGAGTATAATACACGGCTATGAGCTGAGATAACTACGCTTCTCAATTTTTCCACATGAAGTTAAAATGAACCTTTTCTTCTTACTTGGCATGAGATGGGGAATGGAGAGAAACATTTACTTTTTTTGTCTATTCCATGCATTTTTCATATCGATTGACTTCTATTTAGATTGGAAGTTGTTAAAAACCTTAATCTCTGCGTCCTTTATTTGTTTGTCAGGTTGTAAATTGCCACGAATCAGTAATTTACGTTTTGGCACCATTGAAATATGCAACAGTTTATGGATGCTCTGATGCAACCATTGTCATTGGTGCTGTTGGCAAGGTACTTGGGGTGATGTGCATATGATTACGATTGTTATAAATCTATCATGAACTTTACACAAGTTAATTTCTTTAGTACCTTCATAAAATTAGGAGCTCCTGATCCCTAAATAAATGTGTTAACAGGCCATTAGGGTTGAGCATTGTGAACGAGTTCATCTGATTACTGCTGCAAGACGTATCTGCATTGCCAACTGTCGTGAATGTGTGTTCTTCTTAGGGGTCAACCAGCGACCCCTCATTGTTGGTGATAATCATAAATTGCAGGTTAGTTGTTAGTCCGTACTAATGCAAACCATATGCTTCAATACGATTGATTGTTTGTTATGGTATTATTTAGCTTGATCATGAAAATTTTGATCAAATTGCACATGCTTTTAAACTATCAAAGTAAGTTACTCGAACAATTATTATAGCTATTAATAATAATGATGATGATGATAATAATAATAATAATAATAATAATAATAATAATAATAATAATAATAATAATAATAATAATAATAATAAATTTTCTGTTGGAACTTGGAATCAATATTTTCATCAGGTGGCTCCATATAATACGTTCTATTCGCGACTTGAGGAGCACATGAATCAAGTTGGGGTCATCCCGGGCATCAATAGGTGGGATGAGCCCGTGGCACTTGGATTAGTTGACCCACACGACTCATTATCCCATCCTGCTGGTGTTTCAGATGTTCAAGCTGAATCTGCTTCACGCATGGATCCCGATCAGTATACTCATTTCGTGGTGCACTTTTTTTTTTTTTTTTTTTTCTACTTATGATGGCTTATTTAGTTGTGAAATGTTTTGATCTAGTCGTTCATTGTATTGAAAGCAATCCCAACTACTGTTGTACACATTTGCTCACAACTCACTAGACATTGAAATTTTGGCTGTTGATTTTTGCTCTTTCCATTTGCTGTAATTTTTTGCACGTACTGATGTATATATTTGATCGTGCACAGATTCCAGATTGGCTGGAAGGTGAACAGACTGGTCCCACTAAACACAATCCCTTTCCTTTACCTGATGCGTACCTTCAATCTCAGCAGAAAAATGTACGTTCAATAAGTTGTGGCCTTCTTTATTGGTTTGGGTTGGTTTGCTCTATGACCCATAATTTCGAATTGTTTCGCACATTGAATCTCCATTATTGAACTTACAGATGAAAAATCTGGAAGAAGTTAAGCAGCTCTTAAGGGATACTAACCTTGAAGATAGCCGGAAACGAGAACTGTCGAGCGCTCTTCATGCGTGTTTTAAAGAATGGTTATACGGTATTGCCTTTGAAAGAACACTCTCAACTTTATGCTACAAATTTAAGTTTCTTCTTGAAGTTCATGTTATATTTCCATACCAGTTTTGATGAGATGTCCTGACTTTTTTTTATTTTTTTTTTTATTTTTTTTTATTTTTAACATAATATTTCTGATTATTTGCCGAAATTAATGCTCGTATACATTTGAATGGACAGCTTCAGGAAACATTAGGCAGCTTTACTGCTTACAGGGCGAATGAGTGCTGTGCGCCGAGTACCCACTTAACCACTTCTGTTCCTTCTTACTATCTTTGTCGAACCTTAGAATTCGCTTGCAAGGACTCTGGAATCGAACTTCTTGCACCCCTTTCAGTTTGTGAATGAATTATATTGTAATCTCAGAACAATGCTTTTGATCATATTCTAGTAAGTGCACATGGTCTTTTAGAATCATGAGTTATGTTTAGATTGTAAGAGATACATTTTCATGGAATGACAAAGTTCTCGGTCGGGACATGCTTGCTGCCGTTGACCGGGCTTACATTTTCGACTGATTATATAATACTCTAACTTTTCAGTCCCCAAGAACTTATCGACGTTCTAACTAAAAGATGGATCTATTGATAAGCTTAACTCAGCTGCCTTGTGGACATGAAAATCACACATTGTGCAATAGATACTCTTCAAACTCTCAAACTTATTAGGTCTGAAGGAATTAAATGACAAATACAAAGTCTCTGTTTCCACTAAAATGAGAAGGAAAAACAAAAGAAGATGAAAAAAAAAAGAACATAAAATACAATGTCACAACATTCAGTGACACCTACCAAATTTAAAAGCCTTTCAAAGCGACCAATGAATCTGATGAACTGGGGAATCATACCCACTCGACCGCTCGATCTCACCTTGGTAATGCTCGTTGCTCGACTGAGCCAGTCCGAGTCCACCACTAAACTGACTGTTAGAACTCTGAGAAAATGCAGCAAAACCCATACCCGGAGCCAAATCGTGCATGTAGTCACCACCTTCATTGCTCTTAAAACCCCACGGCCCGCATGGAAATTGACCGATAGTGGCATTTGAAGGCCCGATAAAATCGTTTGGGCCTAAGCCCAAGGCTTGCAGTTGGGTACTCGGGCCCCAAGATGTGTTTGACAGAAGAGAGAGAGCACCAGGGTTGGAATTCAATGCCCCATCGTAACATCCCTCTGGAGGTATTCCGAGCTGTAGGTTCGGGCTTTGGATGGGATTAGAAAGATGATCGCGCGAATTGCTTCGCCAAGAAAAATTGTACTTTTGTGGGGCGGGCGATTGATTCTCTATGGCTCGTTCGGAGCTTATGTTGGGCAACGAATCTACTCTGGTCATGTTTGATGAGTAGCTGCTAAAGTCCATCATAAAACCTCCAGCTTGCCCATAGTCATCTTCCAAAAAAAAAAAAAAA